CGTGGAGTGAGCTTGTAGAATACCCGTGTTTCCCCCCTTCGGCCTGTTGCTGCGGGTTTCTGTCTGCATGCTGAGCTTTTGAAAACCAAGTCCTGGGAGGTTGAAGGAAACTTCGCTTGCTGCTGTTACCAACCCCGACATGAACTCACCGAAAGTGTCGAGAGTCGCAGGTGGGTGTTGGTTCTTGTACATTGCCCAATCGAGTCGCAACGAGCCAGGCAGTTTCTCCACCAATTCCTGCATAAGAACCGGATTTGCAAGGTGGTTTGCCTGCTGCGCTGCTTTGAGGTGATCCACCAGATTTTGCACTGCTAGGCCAAAGTGCATGATGGTCTCTAGGCGATCGTGTCTCGGTGGAGGGATTTGGTGTATTTTGAACAGCAACGATTTAATGAGGAGCTCAGGTCTTCCAAAAAGAGTACGCAGGGTCTGGATGACGTGCGGTACACTTGCTGGCAAAAGTAATCGACTTTTCACCGACTCCAGGGCGTTTCCCTTCAAGCATTGCTGAAGGCGAACCAAGTTTTCCGCATCCGAGTAACCGCAGGTAGCAGTAGACTGTTCATAGTTGCTGAAGAAAATGGGCCAATCCTCCGGGTTTCCACTAAATAATGGTAGGTCTTTTCCTAAAACCTGTCGTGCTGCAATTTGCACCTGCGATAGTGTGCGAACAGAGGAAACGGGAACTGTCGGCGCAGGCTGTGGCGTTGGAATGGGGTAAGCAGGTGCTGGAATTGGAGGCTCCGATATAGGAACGGGAAGATGCTGTGGAGTGGGGGTTGGGGCTGGAGGCTGTGGCAATTGAGGTGGAAAATCCTGTGGAGCTGGCGCATCCAAACTTGGCATTGGATGGATTGAATTCAGCGATATTGATGGCAGCCGAGGAATGGGGAGATCCGCTGAGTCGGCGGGAGTCGGATTCAAATTGGGGTGTTTCGTTTTCCCAAACCGATTTCCATTTGATCTTTCAGCGTCCTGTTCGTCTAGCCAATCTTTCACCCTTTGGTCTGAATTTATTACAGAGCCACCTCTACTGCTAGTTTCTGCCATCTGACGAAGAATAGCTTGTCGCTTCTCGAAAGATTCCTTCCTGATTTCCTGCTGCTTGCGCTTCAGCTCCAATTCCTCCTGCAGTTTGAGCTCACGAATTTGTTTCGCCTCCTCCATCTGACGCTCTGCTTCCTCCAACATACGTTTCCTGATGTCTTCCTCTTCCAGTAGTGCTTGCTCTTCCATCTTCTGTTCTTCTTCGACGAGCTTAAACTGTTCTGCCAGCAAAGCAGCCTGAACGCTGGAAGTCGTACTTCCCGGCGGGTTGGGATTCTTCTTTCCCCTTCTAGAGCTCGCTTTTGAACTCGTCTTAGATCCTTTAGAAGAACGTGGTTGGACAACGGGAACTTTCAGATGATCATCGTTGGATTTGCCCTGCTTCGAACATCGTCTGCATACATAAGTGGCGTTCGGCTGCCGGATTTCCTCATCTACACCTGCGCAGCCAAAGTGCTCCCAGTGTTTGCACACGTCGCACTGGACCATCTCACTTTCTGCTGAATCCGTTCGCTCGCATGCCTGGCAGTTCCGAGGGGAATTTTCATCTGCCATACTTCCGATACCCAAAACAAATTTCTTTAAGAATGTTGGGATGCGTTTACCAACTCTTTATAGCTACACTTCGTGAGTTGTGTTTGTGATAGCTTAAAGCTGCAATTTAGAGTTTATTTCAGTAAAGATGCGTAACTTATTAATTTTAAGACTTACAAATTTGGTGTACTTTTTCTGGAAGTGGTATGGCTCGAATTCCCACTCTACTTCTTCAATTTAGACCGTACTATAATTTTAATTTAATACTAGCGTTAAGTTCAATTTCCGTTAATTTCATCCGTACTTACAGTGTTTATAATTTATGATTAGATTTAAGCACTACACGGCAAATAATGTGTATATTAGATAAGTAGAATACTAGAATAAGGATAATAATAGATCAACAACTATGTCAACTTTTGTTCTTCGTGTTTGTTCTTCCTCTTTTCGTTTGACGTTATTCTAAGTTCAACCAGTGACGTTTCCCACTGTCATTTGATTCACCGTAAATGCAGGGCCGTAGCGTTTGCAGCGCCGCCGCGATGAGGGGTCTCGTCGTGACACGGGGTATGGTAGTTCGAAGTACCTTTTCCCCCGCAAGGATATCACAAAGCCACCTGCAGATCACCTGACCAACACACAGAAAACCAAATCGATCACGTTCTAATCGACGGGAAATTCTTCTCCGACATTATCAACGTCCGCACGTACCGCAGTGCGAACATAGATTTGAAGCACGCCCAGAAGACGACAGGCTACCGGCCCCTGATCTTCAAGAAGTTGAGGAGGAGATCGGTCGGCTGAAGAACAACAAAGCAACTGATGTAAATCAACTACCAAGTGAGCTATTAAAATACGGTGGTGAAGCACTGGCTAGAGCGCTGCACTGGGTAATTGCCAAGATTTGGGAGGAAGAGATATTACCGGAGGAGTGGATGGAAGGTGTCGTATGCCCAATCTACAAAAAGGGCGACAAGTTGGATTGCTGCAACTACCGCGCGATCACACTGCTGAGCGCCGCCTACAAGGTACTCTCCCAAATTCTATGCCGCCGCCTGTCACCATTTGCAATACCAGGGGGGATTCATGGGTGTCCGCGCTACCACGGATTAGCGATTCGGCAGGTTCTGCAGAAATGCCACGAATACAACGTGGTCACACATCATTTGCTCATCGATTTCAAATCCGTATACGACACAATAGATCGAGATCAGCTATGGCAGATCATGCACGAGTACGGACTTCCGGATAAACTGACGCGATTGGTCAAGGCGACGATGGGTCGAGTGATGTGCGTTGTTCGAGTATCGGAGACACTCTCGAGTCCCTTTGAATCTCGAAGGGGGTTACGGCAAGGTGATGGACTTTCGTGTCTGCTGTTCAACATCACGTTAGAAGGTGTGCTCAGAAGAGCTAGGATAGACACGAGTGGCACGATATTCAGGAAGTCCATCCAGCTCCTTGGCTTCGCCGATGACATTGACATTATGGCACGGAACTTTGAGATGATGGCTGAAACGTACATCAGACTGAAGGCAGAAGCTAGGCGGATTGGACTTGCCATCAACGCATCGAAGACAAAATACATGAAAGGAAGAGGTTCTAGGGAAGCCTCCCACCCCGAGTTCAGATTGACGGTGACGAAATCGAGGTGGTCGATGAGTTCGTGTATTTGGGCTCACTGGTGACCGCCGAAAATAATACCAGCAGAGAAATTCAAAGACGCATTATGGCAGGGAATCGTGCCTACTTTGGACTCCGGAGGACGCTCCGGTCGAATAGAATTCGACGCCGCACGAAGTTGACTGTCTACAAGACACTGATTAGACCGGTGGTCCTCTACGGCCACGAGACCTGGACTATGCTCGTGGAGGACCAACGCGCCCTTGGTGTTTTCGAACGGAAGGTGTTGCGTACCATCTGCAGATGGATGACGCAACGTGGAGGAGTCGAATGAACTACGAATTGCACCAGCTGCTGGGAGAACCATCCATCGTCCACATTGCAAAAAATGGGCGACTACGGTGGGCTGGGCACGTCGTAAGAATGCCGCATGACGACCCAGTGAAAATGGTTCTAGAAAGCGACCCAACAGGAACAAGAAGAGGCGCGCAGCGGGCAAGGTGGATCGACCAAGTAGAAGGCGACCTGCGGATCCTTCGCAGACTACGAGGCTGGCGAAGTGTGACCATGGATTGAGTAGAGTGGAGTCGACTTCTTCGGACAGCAGAGGACAACAAGGCCTTAGCCTGATTGGTAAGGTAAGTAAGTTTACGTAGCCGCCTGTCGAACCGAAAACCAAATAATAATTTCTGGCTTGAACAACGTCATCCCAAGGACACTCAGATCGTACACCAGTTTCTAAACCAGACAAATTTTATTCGTGTCCTTGAAGGTATCATCGTCTTTGTTGAATCACATTTCCGAAACAATCTAAGATTGGATTTAAAGTCGTCGAAGGTTTGCCGGCAGGTATCCTTGCAAGGTTAGAATTTTCCGTTTCCTGCTCGGTGGTATTAACTGCTACAAACAAAATTTGTTTCCAAAAAATCAAATTGGAATACGCTAGAGCACTAGCTCCACCTGCAAATAGAATAGAATAGAATCACAAATAAATGTATTTGAGTATTTCGGAGATGAACTAGCCGTATCTCCTTAATCCTATTTAGAATTTTAAAAAAAATGAGCATTTTGCGCTCAGCATTTGAAAACCTATTCAAAATAGTGAATCTTATGGCAGCATTTGAGAGCGAGCCTTAAAATAATTACCACCTCAAAATACTGACAAAACCATCAACCAAATCACGTAACTTTTACGTAAAAATATGGTCTCTTACTCCAAAGGGCCAGGGTTTAATCCCAGTCGTACACTCAAAAAATTTATCACATATCTAATGGATGAAAACCATGTGAATTTCACATAGCTTTCATGTGATCACATAGCTAAAAATCCCACCACAAAATGACAGAAATATTATGAGGCCGATGAAATTCATATGAAAAATTATATAACATTAACGTGATCGCATAAATGTTATGTGAAATTCAGAAAAAGTCAATTAATTTTGTTCATGGATGAAAATCATTTGCGTTTCCAATGGACGCTACATGAAAACTATTTCGTTGTAATCAATTGAACTGAAGATGTATCCCGTCATTCTTTAATATGCTAGTAAAAGAAGCCGACTTGTACCAATAAAAAAATGTCAACCCGATTCAACGTTATTCCTTTTAATATTTGCTTCACTTATTTGGGCCAAACTTGTACATCTTATGTGCAAAAAAGTTACAAAATTAGTTGATAAGCATGTTAAAATAAAAATTCCCATACATAATTTGATACAGAACGTCCTATTCTATTTAATAATTGTCTTGTTCCTATACCTACTAAAAGATCAAAATTCATTTCCATCCTGTAGACCGTCGTATTTCAAAGCGAAACCTTCCACCCGCTGATTGACCCGTACAACGGAACCCTCGAGCTGACCGAGGCCTTCCCAAAGTGGAAGGCCGGTGACAACCACGTCTGGCAGCTGCTTAAATTCATGCAGTACATTTTCTCCAGCTTCGATGAGTACATGTCCCTGGCGGAACAGAGCGCCAACAATGTGGCCTATGAACTGTACGGCCAAAACCGTTCGGAGTTTCTGCAAAAAGTCGAAGAATCCGTACGGCTCAGCCAGAGCAGGTTGTTCGACCCAGCACCGGTTCAGGATAGGAATTACATCGTGTTCGATCGGTTCGACAAGGATACTCACGGTCCGGTGTTGGAATCACTGAAACAGGGCAAAGCGAACGAGGTCACGACCCCTCCCGCTTCCGGGCTTTCCTGGGTCAAAGAAGGGGTATTTCAACCGCTGAGTAAACAAGGCTAATGGTTCTCTAGTACTAAAACACAAGTTCAAACACATTTTTTTTCGAAGAGGATTAAATAACGTGTAACTATTTATTAAAACTTAGAATGAAATTAGGATGAACAAGAATGGCAATAATATTCGCTATTTATACGTATTTAATTAAAGACTATAATTTACTAACGCATGAAGCATGAAGCTACGCCACCTATTGGATAGAGCGCAAAAGAAATCCCACCTTCCGCTTAACTTCCGTTGACCTTGCTGTATTTTCCGAGGCGCAACCGTTTGGCACGACGATTATTGAAAACTCGACGGATGATGTCCAGCAGGGCGATTCCAACGACGGAGAAAAATAGGATAGCGGCACCGATGGCAATGTTACGGAATCCCGGATAAACCTGGTTCAGCTCGGTCTCGCTGATGTGGATGTGAATGCCTTCCGCCTTGGGTGAGTTGGATTGCCCCGGGTATTTGTGGTCCGTGTGGGGAATGCTCGGCGACAGGGTTGGCGCTCCCGGTTGCAGTTGAGATTCGTCGTACAAATTCGCTACCACACCGTATTCGACGTGGGTTTCCGTCAGGGTGGTTTCGATCGACTGCAATTTCAAAGAATGGGGATTAAAACTTGTCGTGATATGTTAGAGGTTCCGCCCTTATTACCGCTCCTTCAACTGACAATAGCGATCGGGACCATCCGAAGCCTTCCTCGTCGGTGTAGATGCTGACCAGCTTTCCACGGAATTCCCGGTAGGCCCGCTCCTCGGTACCGACGACGGTGACGTTGATGATCGTGGCCGGACTCATGTAGCGAACGGCGTTGATGGTCTGGAGATGCAAGTAATTATCGATGATTAGTTTTTAATGTATCAAGGCAAGAAGAATTTTAAAAATCTGGAATATTTTCAAAATTAAAGGGTTGCACGGTATTGTAAGCACAACAATTAATAAATATCTGAAAAAAAACATACTTTTGATTTTATCTCTCAGTTTTTCCAACTTTCGAAAAACTGACAGCGATAAAACTATATTGTATACAATACACTCAAACTACTTCTACCCAAGTTTTCAAGAGAAAATACCCAATGGATAATTTTCTACAGCGTTTTTTTCCGTGATGCAATTTGATGTGGGACACCCTTTAGTGTGTTTTTTCAACACTGGAGTCATTCAAAGTTAACAGAACGCTAACTATCAAATTGATATGGTTTGAACAATATAAAGTGGCCGAAAAATTTGCTGCTCTTAAATTTGTAATGACGGTCAAGTAACTGCCAAATTTGTATTTAGGGGAATTTACGTATTCTCGGCAACCTAAGCAGCGACCTTCTTTCTATAGCCTTTTTCTCTAAGAAACGCACACATATGCAGTATTGGTTTGTTTACAATCTTTTGCTGCCAGCTGCTCTAGCAATTTCAGTCGAAAGAATTGTCAAAAACTGTTTTGAAACGCTTTCACAAAGCTCCAATCTTCTCTAGTGAGAGCGAATATTGTCGGCAACCATTCCATTTGAACTGCATGTAAATCTGCTGTTCTATTATCGGCAACTCGAAATCAGCTACAATTTGTAGTGCGTGTGTTTCATTTCAAGAAAACCTTGCTAGATTGCTTTTTCTCAGTGGTAAAAATATAATCAAATTGAAGCTGAAAGCATAAAGAATCGTTTGCATGCATTCAGCGAAGTGTTTACGTAAGAAAATCCAGTGAAAATAGTGTTTCAATTTGGGTTGCCGAAAATAGTCTGACATTTCGAAGCCGTCATTTCCCCTATATCATAAATAGATTTTCGAGTGATTATTTTTATAGGTGAACGCTAGCACACCTAGCGTTATAAGTAGTGCCTGCAGATAAGATTCTTCGAGGTAGTGAGTTAGCATAGAAAGCCCGTGTGGATCGCACCGCTTGCGGCAAAATTCAGTGGGGTACCGTTGTTTGCGGATGGAGTTAAGCAGGAATTTCGTTTTCCAAATTCTTTGGTAGTAAACATACTAACCGCAAATGGTATCTATAATAGCAAAAACCAAATATGGAATCCAGAAAACATAATACTGACTAAAAGTCCATCCGCAATCAACGGTACCTCTTAGTGTTTAATTTCTTGATTGGGGATTGAAGTGTATTATCTTCCGTGTGTAGTATTTTTTATGGGGGTTGATAGCTTAATTGGTGACGAAATAGCCATGGACTTGAGAAAAAAACTGAAACGGTGTGCAATTATTTTTATTATAGCATACACGGGACCGGCCATCTTGATAAAAGGCTTGAAGTAGATTTCAAAAGTTTGCACTGTAAGGCATAGGAGATAAGTTTTTAAAACGCCTATTTTTTAGAATAAAGTTCTTTAAATTAATTTTAGTGTTACTGTGGAGGATAAAAAAAAAGTCGAAATCTACTTATTTGAACAACTTTTATCAAATATTAAAGAATCATCGTAGAATCATCGAAAAAAAAATTAGAAAAGATTTATTGAGACATAGAAGAATTTTAAAATTTCCCATACCTCATCGGGCAAAATTTTGAAATCTGCTTCATCAAGCTTTTTTTCAAGATGGCCACAAAAGGCTTAGTTTTGATGGCCTATTGGCACCAGGTGTCGACGATAGGGCTCTTACTCAATCAGTCGTATCAGCGGTTTCTTAGGCAAACCATATCAGCTACAGCTCTACTCAGTAGGAATCATAGCTCCGGAAGCAAATGTCCGATCGGGATACAATTCAGTACACACTAAGTTTTTTCTACCGAGCTCGGCTGTGCAAATCTCGGTAAAATAAGTTTTACTGAGATCTCAGCAAACATTTCATTTGTTTGCTGAGAATCAGCTAAGCATTATCCGAGACTCAGCAATCAAATGTCACTTTTGCTGAGATCTCAGTGAAACTTATTTTTGCCGAGATTTGCACAGCCGAGCTCGGTATAAAAAACTAAGTGTGTAGGGTTATTATCGGTACAGTTGAAAACCTGAAAACCCCACACGCGAAAATCGATTTTACTCTTGTTCTGTAAGTTAAACATAATGTCGGGCATAGTGTGCTGTATTCACACAATGATGCGCTATAATGCGCACTATGTTCGACGTTATGTTTGACGTACAGAACAAAAGTAAACTCGAATGTCGCATGAGGGGTTTTCCTTGTCCAATTTGACCGACAATATCTTGGAGCTAGATGCAAACAAACTGGAAGCGGTTGACATGCTTGACATGCACAGCTGTACACACTAACTGCTCATTTGTTAATAACTTTTCATAAGTTGTTGGAATTTGTTTAGTACATTAGGATCATAGCGAAGACATCATATCAAAAAGACTGGCAACTTTGCCAGAATCCAAGCGACAGATACAATAGCGCTGCGCTTGAGTGAAGGTGGAAGCAACGCATAGAAAAATGAGCAAATACACAAGCCTTTCTTCTGAGGATGTAATCTTTGCTATCAAATTCGTTCGAAGCATTTACCTTTGAGCGACAAATGACGCGATTGTACCTGTCTCATAATGTTCGTATGAGAAAATGGAAGAGTTGCCAGTCTTCTTGATTTTTTGTCTTCGATCATAGTTTACTATAGATAAAGTTCTGTCCAGTTAGAATCCGGAATCACTTATTGTGTTGCAGCGGCACTGAAAGTGACCGCTGCAAGAATTATTTTACAGCGGTTTGTTTACCTAGGCGCCCACTTTCTGTGGTATAAATTTCACGGTGTTTCGTGCAGTGAGTCAAAAATTATTCAGATAATCGAACGTGGTCCGCAATAAAAATCGCAAAAACGTTGAAAATCGCCAAATCAACCGTGTATGATGTGCTCAAACGTTTCAGGGAGCGAAAGAGCGTGGATCGAAAGTGCCTCCAAGGTAAGCGTCGTAGTGAAACATATGACCGCAAGCTGAACCAGAAGGTGTTGAGAACCGTCAGAGCAAAGCTTGGACTATCAGATAATGAAATCGCACAAAAATACGCTGCTGCTCGCAATACCGTTCGAAGAATTCGTTTGCGAGCAGGATATCGTTCTTATCGAGCCAGAAAGCAACCAAACAAAACGTTGAAGCAAAGTTTCGTCACCAAAACTCGAGCTCGGAAATTTTACCAGCAGGTTTTGACGAAGTACCAAGGATGCCTGCTCATCGACGATGAAAACTACGTCAAAATGGATTTCGGACAGCTTCCTGGCCAAAAATTCTACATGGCGACGGCACGAGGAGATGTTCCTGCGAAGTTTAAGTTTGCTTTTATGGACAAATTTGCCAAACAACTGATGATTTGGCAAGGGATATGCAGCTGCGGAGCAAAGACCAAAGTGTTCGTGACGAATAAGACGATGGACTTGAAGCTGTACAAGGAAGAATGCCTCAAAAACCGCGTACTACCTTTCATTAAAGCCCACAAAGGTCCCGTGAAGTTTTGGCCAGATTTGGCGAGTTGCCACTACAGCCGGGAAGTCATCCAGTGGTACCGCGATAATAACGTAGATTTCATCGATAAAAACATAAATCCACCCAACTGCCCGCAGTTCCGGCCCATCGAGAGATTTTGGGCAATAATGAAGCGGAAGCTTAAGAAAAGTGGAAAAACGGCTCGGCACGCGATTCAAATGACCAAAATGTGGAACAAATGTGCCAAGGAAGTTGACTCCGGAGGTTTGATGGGAGCACGGACCTTGGAGCACGCGCAGAAGACGACAGGCTACCGGCCCTTGATCTTCAAGAAGTTGAGGAGGAGATCAGTCGGCTGAAGAACAACAAAGCAACTGGTGTAGATCAACTACCAGTGAGCTATTAAAATACGGTGGTGAAGCACTGGAGATATTACTGGAGGAGTGGATGGAAGGTGTCGTATGCCCAATCTACAAAAAGGGCGACAAATTGGATTGCTGCAACTACCGCGCGATCACACTGCTGAGCACCGCCTACAAGGTACTCTCCCAAATTCTATGCCGCCGCCTGTCACCATTTGCAAGAGAGTTCGTGGTTCTGCAGAAATGCCGCGAATACAACGTGCCCACACATTATTTGCTCATCGATTTCAAATCCGTATATGACACAATCGATCGAGATCAGCTATGGCAGATCTTGCACGAGTACGGATTTCCGGATAAACTGCCGCGATTGGTCAAGGCGACGATGGATCGAGTGATGTGCGTTGTTCGAGTATCGGGGACACCCTCGAGTCCCTTTGAATCTCGAAGGGGGTTACGGCAAGGTGATGGACTTTCGTGTCTGCTATTCAACATCGTGTTAGAAGGTGTGATCAGAAGAGCTGGGATAGACACGAGTGGCACGATCTTCAGGACGTCCATCCAGCTTCTTGGCGTCGCCGATGACATTGACATCATGGCACGGAACTTTGAGACGAAGGCAAAAACGTACATCAGACTGAAGGCTGAGGCTAGGCGGATTGGACTTGCCATCAACGCATTGAAGACAAAATACATGAGCGAAAGAGGTTCTAGGGAAGACAATGTTAGCCTCCTACCCCGAGTTCAGATTGACGGGGACGAAATCGAGGTGGTCGATGAGTTCGTGTATTTGGGCTCACTGGTGACCGCCGAAAATGATACCAGCAGAGAAATTTAAAGACGCATTATGGCAGGGAATCCTTCCTACTTTGGACTCCGGAGGTCGCTGCGGTCGATTAAAATAAACCGCCGCACGAAGTTGACTGTCAACAAGACGCTGATTAGACCGGTAGTCCTCTACGGCCACGAGACCTGGACTATGCTCGTGGAGAACCAACGCGCCCTTGGTGGTTTTCGAACGGAAGGTGTTGCGTACCATCTACGGTGGAGTGCAGATGGATGACGGAACGTTGAGGAGACGAATGAACCACGAATTGCACCAGCTGCTGGGAGAACCATCCATCGTCCACATTGCAAAAATTGGGCGACTACGGTGGGCTGGGCACATCGTAAGTATGCCGCACGACGACACAGTGAAAATGGTTCTAGAAAGCGACCCAACAGGAACAAGAAGAAGAGGGCAAGCTGGATCGACCAAGTAGAAGGCGACCTGCGGACCCATCGCAGACTACGAGGCTGGCGAAGTGTGGCCATGGATCGAGTAGAGTGGAGACGACTTCTTCGGAGAGTAGAGGACAACAAGGCCTTAGCCTGATTGTGAATTGGTGGATCCGTCAAACCGAGGGCGCGGAAGTTATACGACCAATTACTGTGCGGAAAATCGGTGTGCGTGATTATGAACGACGTTAAATTTGATTACAAAACTCTTCCTGGTGATCAGTATTGACGACACGGATAAGTCGATTTTTACCGAAAAAATCGGTAAATAGGCTATGGTTTGGCAAGTAATTTGTGAGTGTGGTATGCTTTCCAAACCGTTTGTGACAACGGAGACAATGATAACCGACGTTTACGTGCGTGAGTGTTTAAACAAACGTATGTTACCCATGATCCGCAAACATGACGCATCAGTACTGTTTTGGCCGGATTTGGCGTCGGTTCATTACTCCAAGGACACGGTAGCCTGATATAAAGCCAACAAGGTCCAATTCGTACCCAAGGCCAGGCCAATCCTAACTTTTCGGGCCCTGACCAAAGCATATTTGCGGAAACATGTAAAGGCAGCGGATTCCGTTACAAAGTTTACGAGAGACTGGGAAAAGTATCCAAAATTGTAGGAAAGGCATCTGTGCTGAAGCTAATGAGTAGCGTGAGATCAATAATCCGCTCCTTGGCTTGCGACTGATCGGATCTCAGATGTTCTACGTTAAACTGTAAAAGAATACTATAGAGAACATGAATACGATATAAAATTCGATTTTTCTGTAAACAGAGTTGCGTTATCGTTTTTTTTTTAATCATGCTTAGACATTCTGGGACATCCTATATACAACATATAGTTCTTATATTCAAAGTGTTTTTATGTTACTTCATACGCGAAGTTTGGTCTTAGAATGGTCTTAGAAGAGGGTAGGTAGATAGTTCCGTTAGAGTACGGCAGTATGAAAATGGAATAGAAGTTGAAAATGCGACAGTACAAAGTCAAACGTACACTTCTATGCTTAACCCGTACGATATACGCGGAGATTTGAAGTATGTCTTCAACTCTACAGGCAAAACAGTGTGCCTTTACCCTGTCTACGACTGTGGAATAGTTCTAGTGACGTTTCATCACTACCTAAAACCCCACGTTGCCGAAAGCATTTCCAGTCGATGGTGTGTTGTACTGTCGCATTTCAACTTCTATTCAATTTTCATACTGCCGTACTCTAACGGAAATATCCACATATCCTCTTCTAAGACCATTATCAAGCTAATAAATTATCACACTCAAGCTTAATGTTAGATAGCATTTCCAACCAACTCAGAATATAGTTCTTGTTCTGGGTGTTTTGTAAAATTTTTTTTTTTCGCTTTTCTTGATATGTGAACGGGACCCAAGAGGGAAATAATATTGTAGTCTCACTGAAAATCGTTCAATACCACCGATTTATCCCAGGAATATAACTCTTTCTGTAAAAATATGTGGTCCTGAGAAGGACCGATTGTTCTATCTCCACTACGTTGTCCGATGCGAAAATGAGCTTTGGTACGACATCGTTCTTAACCTAAAGCTCATCCCACACCTGCCCGATATCACCCGGTCGACTCTCCACAAATGAGAGATAAATATGACAGAGCGAGATAAATATGTAAAACCGCCAGTCGGATCGGAGGATATCGGGTAGGTGCGGATAGTCGTTGAAGACGTGTGTCTCCTTCCACCCCATCGCTGGTTGTCAAGGTGATCACGCCTCCGCTGTGCCTGCGAGAATGTTCATCACGACGGTAGATAGAGAGAGGGAGAAAATCCACCTCTTGCTCCTTCTTGCACTTGCCACGCCGTTCGAAGCGGGAATGAGCAGAGGCACGCAAGCAGCGGTGTTTTATAATTTTTCAGGTTCAAGCAAAACGATGTGCAACCAAGTGGTACTCGATTATGACGGCTGGGTTTGGGGAAAACGTTTATTCGCAGCAGATTCGTAGAGTTGTTTCCTATCGATTGGTGTAGTTGGATTTTAATTGCATCTATAAATGACAAAGCCACACATTTTTTTAAATTTTCACCCCAGTATAGTCCACAAAGACGTAGTTCTACCATAGAGGTAACTCTAAGACCAGAAGGTCCCGAAGAAACGAGTTCAACTTTTTGGCTCAGCTCTGGTACTATCTTCGGTCCTAAGCTAGTCGATTCACGCCTAGAAACATAGGAAAATCCACTTACCCCTCATTTTATCTGTCAAACTTTCATACCAAATCAAAACAAACATAGTGTAGTACTGGAATTTATACTAGAATGGGGTACGTTAGTCGATTTGCTTGGGACCAATAGGCTAGTCAAGTAGTGAGCCAATTTGAAATCGTTAGTTTCGTATTGATTGTTGGTTCTACGCCAAAATGTTTCTTCAGCAAAGAAGCTTAGCTACTACAACTTTGCTGAAGAACATGCGTCTTTACTTTCAAAAATAAAGAAGTTAGTTTATCTATATCAATAATTTCAAAACCATGAATTAGATTTAAAAAACGGTCAAAAGTTGAAAAAGTTAACAGAAGACACTCAACCTCTAAAATTTAAGACAAATGCACTATAGGACTTTTGTCTCGCTAAATTCCCATCCTGGACCTCTGTGCAGTGTTATGAACGTTCTAAATATTCTTCGGAAAGTGAATCTCTGAAACGGTTCCATTGGTAATCGATATTTAACGACCTGCAACATTATGTTATCTTTATGCGACATACAAGACCGATGATTTTCCAAATTAAAACGACACATTGAGAAACCAGTTTACCTGCAGCAGATACCTGTTATCAGCATCGAACGCGTCAACCAATTTGCAGTAGCTGTGTCGGTTTTATCTATCGTTAAATTCCCATCAATGACGTCCCATCAGTAAGACAAATAAAAATTCCACTACAAATCAGAGGCGACACCTCATTGTCGGTTCTGGTTTCACGTGCACCCCGAAACAGTGTATTTTCATGAGCTGCCTGCAATCTTCTTATCGTACTACTAAGGCTATTTCAACTCACCTTGAAACTCCGGCCGTAGTACGTTTCGCCAGAAATAGTTTTGTACGTTTCCACTTTACCCCGATAGACGGAAAGTGGCAGACTGGCTATAACTGTCGCTGGCAGCTGGAACTCCATTCGCATATCCGATAGGTAGGAAATATCCTGGTCGATGTACTTGTATGCTGTATCGCGGTTTTTCAGCGTAGCGTAGGCTAGAATAGGCGAACCGAGGCGGGTCGAATTGGTCCATTTCTTGAAGACCATGTCACGCAGCTCGTATCTTTCGGGATACTTTTCGCCAAGGATCACCACCGGTGCAGACTAAAGAGTGAAAGTGAAGGTTCAAAATTAGGTTATGTGACAGTAGTCTGCGTACACGCTTAGAAATTATTACCGACTTCGGTAATTTTTTACCGAGCTTTCAAACGTTCGGTAAAACTTTGACCCTCATTTCAAAGGCTCTTTCTCTTAAGGGGGTATTCCCGATCTTTTTTTTCAAAAAATCAAATTTTTTTTTTCACGTTTTTTTGTACTTTAGACTATATACTTTCATCCCCCCAAGCCGTTTTCCGATCAGCGAATTCGGTGTCCAGGCATAGCTGACTAATGGTAAGAACCCCCAAATGGTTTTAACTAAAGTCAAAACTTTAAACGCGTTTTTCTCGAAACCACATTTTTTTATCGGGCGAAGATTTTTCTCAGAAACTATAAGAGATATTGACTTGAATCTTTGCGCATTTTGTTCCTTATTAAATTCTTTGGAGCTTCTCCCACTTTCAGCCAAAAATATTAACATTTAACATTGTTTGAAGCACCTTAAAGCTGCAAAAAAGCGGGCTAAAAAACGCCTGTTTTTTCATATAGCCGCCATTTTGTTAATTTGCAAGATTTTTTGCTGCCAACGGGAGAAGCTCCAGAGAATCTTATGCAGATTATTAATTTCATCACGAAATCTGTTTCAGATGAAGCCGTTCCGAGAAAAGTCTTCGCCCGTCCAGGCGTTTGCGGCAAACAGGGGTCTGTTTGCCGCCATTTTGTGACGTCAATAATGTCTTTTTTTATGTCGAAAAATTTTTATTTGTAAACTTTAATGTTCAATAAACAAGAATCCCAAAGAGTTAGGCGCATTACTATTCATTTTCCTTGAAAAAAATTAATTGAAAAACAGGCCGAAAAAAGGCAAAAGATTGGGAATACCCCCTTAATTTTAATTTCAAACCACTGTCAGACTTACTTAAATATTGTGATGAAGTTTTCCTTGTTTTGGAGCCCTAAAACTAAGGAATTAAAATGCCTGATTTTTACCAAACAGTTCAGCTGTTGAAAATTCGGTTAAAAATACCAAAGTCGGTAATCCTTTATAAGTCTGTAATCATTCTGACTTACCACTTCACCATCCCCATTAGAGCAAACCTGCGTTGAAAGATCATAGGTACAGAACCCGTTGAATTCCTCATCGAAAGCTGCCCTGCCGACGTACTTCAAGCCGGGTTCCAACTCCGGTAGGTCAGCAAAGTGCGTAGACTTGACCCACAGCAGTAGGCCATGGTTACCTTCCTTGCAAACGTGTTCCAAACTACGGTCACTGTGGTCTACATCGAATGATTTCACCGTGACGCTCATCAACGGCGAGCTGTTATCACAAATTTCCGACAGGAACTTCTGTGTGAGTTGAGAAAAATGAACCAAATTAGATCACTCTGCGGGCGACGGTGACTCACACTGCTTTCTTCTGACCTTAACGTCCACTTCCTGTTGGCTGCCTTCGAATATGTTACTTTCACCTAGAGCACATCCCAGCAGCACTAGCAGGACTACTGAAGCTATCGCACACGATCGAGATTTGGTCTCCATAGTTTCCTAGTAAAAACGCCCGAATAGCTCTGCTCGCGGTAAATTACTGAATCAAGGTGTGTGAAATCGGGCTTTGCAACTGCTTTGGATCGATTCAGCTCTGATATTAGGAGCTGATAAGCTGATATCGCCATAGCGCAACATCACACAGCCGTCGGCATGTGTTGCGATTTTGAAAAAGGGATCCGCATTGATTGAACCTGTAGGCGCACTCGTCGCCAGTACGTGTATGTGTCACGGTGTCTCTGGTAGAACAGCATTATAAAAAAAAACAAGATTGCTGAGGCACCCACCAAACAAAAGCTTTGACCAGACTTTGGCCAGACTGTGGACTTACTTCATGTTATAAGGCTATCTTGATGTATTTTTTCTCGTCGATAATTATTAGAACATGCCATAATATGAACGTAAAGCCTTGACTGGAACATTTACCCTATATGTCTATAGTCTGAACAAGACATTATTGTCTCCATATGAGGTTTCAATTGAGGTCAGTATCATTTATTTTTATTTTTGGGCTTAAAACATTATTTTCGAAAATTATAGATTGCTGATAAGAACATTTCGATACTAGGCTCATATGAAAGGGTCTAACCAATGCTTTCATATGGGGTGGGTGTTTCAGCAATGTTTTTTTTTTAAATGTAATGTCTTCTTTCAGAGACACCGTGAGTGTGTGTGCTTGTGTACCTATTATCTATACCTGCGCTGCAACTTTTGGAGTCGAGTGATTAATCTTGTGAAGGTTTGATTTTTGTTATTGCTCTTGCTGTTTGAGGAACTGTCTGATAAGGGAGGAGCTTGTAAGAATTTTATATTTCTTTATGCATGTTGAAATATGGTTTCGGAGAGCACTTAGGTGAGGAAGCAGCGTTCATTTGAATGGTGGAATTTTTTAGCCTATTTATTCATTGAGACGTGACAAGCTGGATTAGTCCGAAGTAGGCAATCAACCTTATGTCATCTTCCTTATTTTTGTCTGATTTTCTGTTAAGGGGCATCCACGTTTGAATATTTGGGCAGGACAATGTAGTAAGGGTTTGCTAGGCTTGTGGTAACCACTTTCCTAATTGTTGAAATTACGTTTTTGAAATAGCGGGGGTAATTCGTCTGGAATTCTAAATGTAAGCTGAGCGAAGGATATAAATTTATCTTCTATGTTTTTCTCGATGAAATTAAATATGTATCGATGTACGAATTGTCCAATATATGAAAGGTTTAAAAAAATTCAAGTATCAGAATCCTTGATTCTGTTCAAGTCCGCAAACTTTATCATATTCCGAGGTACAGCATTTCGAATGTTTTTGTTTGTTCCAGCATCACAAAAAAAAATCTCCTGGAAAACCTTTCTAAGTTTGTGAACTCACAAGTCAAGTTCTAAAATATTGAAAATTTATTCTACCTTGGAAATTTTAATGTTTTCCTATGACTGAATTACCTTCTTGATTCTTGATTCCTATATATATCTAGTGCCAATCACCGACGGGCATCGATTGCCATCCATTGACGGAAATCGAAAGTCAGGAAGGTGGCTTTCACATCTGAGTAGATATCGCACCCATCAACACATGAGTTAGGCCAACGGCTTTACTATCCTTCGGAAGGAAGACGTGACCAGAGATTTTTCTCCTAAGAAAAACGACCTCGGCTGGGATTGAATCCAGAAACACTAGGGTAGGGTGAGAAAGCAGTCACGCTTACAACTGCATCTTCTGCGCCGTCGACTGAATTACCTTAATAATTGCGTTGGAATACTTCACAGGTTTTCTTAGGAGTTTTCTACAATTCTCTCAAAGTTCTTGTATAACGTTTGTTTCAATCACCTTAAGATTCTCTCTGATATTCCCTTGAAAACCAATTAAGAAAGTTTTAGGAGTTCTCTCCATAAAACTCTTTAAATTCACTTTACAATTCATTTCCTATTCAATAATTAAGAATCTCAAGAACACGCTTAAATTTTTTTCCCATACCCGTGAAGTGATTTTTTTTTTCAGAATAACTATAGAAAGTCAAATTTCCACAGAATTCTACTCTTAATTATTGTCATTTCAATGAAAAAGCTTAAAGTAACTGATAACCGCAGCATGCTATTAATGCCAAATGTTGATTTATTTTTTTTTAATGCGTTCATTTTTCTAGGCTCATTTGCCGTAGCTTTGCGGAGCCGATATTCATTGTTTAGGTTACAAAATTTCTTAAAACTAACGTTAGTAAAGCGGGGGCCGATTACTCGCTGCTATCTCGAGGTTAGGGGTAACAAATTGTAACAAATGGATGGCAGGGTAGGGATTGAGAACACAAGGTTTGGAGAGCAATGTGCTCTTGATCTCGAACTAAGCGACCAACTGATGAAAAAGACAAACATGGGGGTACACCGATGGGCAGCTAACAACTTGGGGGAACACAAGATGACACTAACTACTAAATCCTCAGATCTATCCGTTTTAAAAACACATAAATTAAATTGCAATAGTCGAGATCTCGGCTCGCCAAGATGTCTCTAACGGGCCGCATGGGTTATTTTCCTCGGGCCCTGAGGGATGCGGATAACTCGGATCTAGCAACACAATGGAGGGTGCATGACCAAAGCACGTGGTCGCTATCGTGATAGCCACTACCACAAGCGCACAAACGAGTAGTGATTGGACATGAGCCTTGATATGACACGTATAAAGTCACGGCTCATGTCCAATCCTTTGAACCATGGCTTGTTCGATACCTGTGGGAGAATAGAATGTAACCATCTTCCCAGATCACTCTCATTCCATTTTTGTTGCCAGTTGGTGAGGACGTGCTGACGGGTAATTGAGAAAAATTCCACAAAGGCGATTTGTCGATCAAAAATATCGCCTTCCATAGCGCCCACCTTAGCTAGCGAGTCCACTTTCTCATTACCCGGAATTGAGCAATGAGATGGGACCCAAACTAAGGTGATAGTATAGGAGCAGTTAGATAAAGTACTCAATTTAGCTCGGATTTCGGTCAGGAAATACGAGGAGTGCTTCATCGGCCTCATTGATCGAATAGCCTCCAACGAGCTAAGGCTATCAGTGAAAATAAAATAGTGATCAGATGGTAGTGAGGCAATTTGCTCTACTGCGTAAAATATGGCTGCTAGTTCCGCAACGTATACGGAACAGGGTTTTTGCAGTTGATATGAGGCGCTATGAAATTCGTTGAATACTCCAAATCCAGTGGAAGCGTTTATAGTTGACCCATCTGTGAAAAAAACTCTTATTGTTACTAACATGGTGGTACTTGTTTGCAAAAATTAAGGGAACAACCATCGACCGATGGTGATCTGGTATTCCACGGATTTCTTGCAACATGGTCAGATCAAAATTTACAGAGGAACTATAAAAGTCTTGGAGGCAAACACGAGAGGAATTGAATGAAGAAGGGCCAATCTCCAGCGTCATGTACTCGTAATAGAGACTCATGAATCTTGTTTGAGGATTTCTGTCGAGCAGCTTCTCAAAATTTTCTATTACCAATGGGTTCATTACTTCACAACGGATAAGAAACCGGAAGGACAGTTCCGCGAAACGATCTGTCAGTGGGAGAACACCCGCGAGTACTTCGAGGCTCATCGTATGCGTCGAGTGCATACAGCCAAGCGCGATTCGGAGGCAACGGTATTGAACCCGTTGCAGCTTCAGGATATGTGTTTTTGCCGCGGATTGAAAACAGCAGCTACCGTACTCTAGAACCGACAAGATGGTCTTCCGGGTGTGCTCCCCACCAAGTTCCAGTAATTGTACGAAGAAAATTGATTCTTTGTTGGCATTTTTGTTTCACATACGCAATATGTTTTCCCCACGTGCTTTTGGAATCGAACCAGACACCTAAATACTTGAAAGATATACTTTGAGTGATTGTTCTACCCTTTAGTTGAAGCTGTAACTGTGCAGTATGATGCTTCCTAGAAAAAACAACCAACTCAGTTTTCTCCGGAGAGAATTCGATACCCAGCTTCATAGCCCAAGTAGACAAATTGTCTAAGGTATCTTGCAATGGTCCTTGCAGGTCCGGTGCACTTGGCCCTATAACGGACACAACGCCGTCATCTGCAAGCTGCCTTAGCGAGCAATTTTCATCAAGACAACCATAAATGTCTTTAACGTAAAAATTATAAAGAAGGGGGCTTAAACATGAGCTCTGGGGGAGACCCATGTAACTAATTCGTGAAGTTGTCGAGTTTCCATGAGAAAAGCTCATATATTTCTCAGACAACAAGTTGCTCAAATAGTTGTTCATAATTGGTGAAAGCCCACTATCGTGGAGTTTATCCGAAAGGACATCGATACAAACAGAATCAAAAGCCCCCTTAATGTCCAAGAAAACTGAACCCATTTGCTGTTTTTGCGCATAGGCCAGTTGAATTTCAGTTGAAAGCAACGCAAGACAGTCGCTCGTTCCTTTGCCTCTCCGAAATCCAAATTGCGTATCTGAAAGTAAACCATTCGACTCGACCCATTTGTCTAGACGAAAAATAATCATTTTCTCCAACAATTTCCGTATACAGGACAGCATCGCGATGGGACGGTACGAGTTATAATCCGACGTGGGTTTACCGGGTTTTCGAATGGCGATAATTCTTACTTGCCTCCAGTCATCCGGAACAATGTTGTGCTCCAGAAATTGATTGAATAATTTCAACAAGCGTCTCTTCGCGACGTCTGGGAGATTTTTAAGCAAGTTGAACTTGATTCTATCCATTCCTGGAGCTGAGTTGTTACATGAGAGGAGAGCAAGTGAGAATTCCACCATCGAAAACGGGGAATCTATTTCGTTATTACCCGACGGACGATCACGAACGTTGGTTTGAACCGACACCGAATCCGGGCAAACTTTCCGTGCGAAGCTGAATATTCAACTGTCCGAGTACTCCATGTCTTCGTTAATCGGTGATGACGCGTTTCGCATTTTCCTGCCGACATTCCAGAGTGTTCTCATGGAAGTCTCTCGCGACAAACCATCGACGAACCGACGCCAGTAACCGCGTTTTTTGACTTTAGTCAAGCCCTTAAAGGTTTTCTCGAGGTCGGTGTACCGCTCGAAATCCTCGACCTTACCGTGTTTGCGGAAGCGTTTAAACGCGGCGGACTTCTCGC